GTCATTTCACGATATAAGTTAGAAGATTAGATGTGACAGTTGCAGTCTAAATTGTTTTTCTTGAAACACAAATCTCAGTTGGGTGACTACTGATCCTATTTCTAGGTAATGTGTACTTTATATGAATTTCTAATTTTTATATATTTTCTCATTCTTTCTTTAACTTTTTTTCTTTGAACCCTTCCTGCTTCCTGGTCAGTCTCTATGTCAACTGCAGACACAATTCAATAAAATGAAGTCATATGGGAATAGGGTAGGCCTTTAATCCACTGATCAGCATCCTTATTAAAGAATGGTCTGTGAACACACACACACACACACACACACACACACACACACACACACACGGAGCAAGCCATCTGAACCTCTGAACCTGAAGGTGAAATTCTGGATGATATTTATAAAGGCCGAGAAACACTGGCAAGTTAGCAGATAGCAAGGGACCAGTTTTCCTGTGAAGTCATCTGAAGGAACCAACCCCAGGGACACCATGATCTAGGACTTCAAGCCTCCAGGATTTGATGTGCTACATTTCCTTTGTTCAAGCCACCTGTAATACCAGCCCTAGCACACTTGATGCTAATTCTCTCCTCTAAAGTCAGGAACAGCGTTAGTGTATTTGCCTCTACCCTCATCCCATCACCTAGGGCCTCACCAGAGCTAAGATGAGCAGCAAAGCCGGCTAACAGCTGTTGCCAGTGTCCCTCACAATGGTCTCCGATAGTAGCGAGGACTCCAGTGGATTTTGGTGCCAAGAGATCTCCTTTTGGGAAGGGCATGCAGTGAAGAGAGAATCTGGATAACATGTCCCCCAATATGAGAGGGGGGGGGAGAGAGGGAGAGAAAGAGGAGTATATATGTGAATGTAATGACTTGTGAAAAAAAAGGAATAGAAATTATGAACTTTCTAAGCAACACTGTCATCTACATTCAAACCTGTTTATGGAGCCAAACTTGATCAGAGGAGTTGATTGAGAACTTTAAGACTCATCAAGGCAAGGGCCTCTGGACGGATTCACTGATAATTCTACCAGACATTTAAAGAACTAACTCCATTTCTCTCAAACTATCCCATAAAATAGAAAGGTACATAATGCTACCAAACTTCTCAAAAGATGAAACCAGTGTTGCCCTGATTCCAAAGCCAGATAAGAGACACAGAAAAAAGAAACTTACAGCCAATCTCCTTGATGAATACAGATACACACTCCTCAATAAAATACTTGCAAACAGAATTTAAGAGGTATATCTTTGTTAGGATTTCTGTTGCTGTGATAAAACACCATGACCCAAGTCAACTTGGGGATGAAAGGGTTTGTTTCACCTATAGCTTATCAGTCCGTCACTGAGGAAAGCTGAGGCAGGAACTAGAGCAGAGGCCAGGGAGGGTGCTGCTTACTGACGTGCTCCTCGGGGCTTGTTTGGTCTGTTTTCTTACAGGATCCAGGATTGCTGGCTTAGGGGTGGCACAACCCTTAGTGGGCTGGGCCTTCCCACATCAAACATTAACCAAGACAATGTCACCCAGGCTTGTCTAAAAGCCCATTGGTGAGGGAGTTTTCTCTCCTTCCAAATAACCCCAGCTTGAGGCACATTGACACAAAACTAGCCAGCTCTACAGAGTACATCAAAAGATTTCATTCACCATGATCAAGTTGTCTTCATTCAGAAATGCAGAAATGGTTTAACACATGATAAATAATCAATAAATGTAGTAATTCATAAATGGACTCAAGGACTGAAGTCATATGACCATCTCAATATATGGAGAAAAGGCTTTTGACTGAATCCAACAGGCCTTCATGAAAGAAATCTCAAAGAGACTATGAATGAAAGGAATATTTCAATATGAGGGAGGTGAAGACAGGAGGTGGAGGTTAGAAGCTCAAGGCCACCCTTCCTGGCATAGTCAGTTCAAAGACAGTCTGGGCTACATCCTGTCAAAAATAATATAGTTCTGCCATCCACAGGGAAATGGACACAAATGGAGATAACCATATCAAGCAAATGAAGTCAATCTCTGAGAGACAAACACTGCTTGTTTTTACCACATGTTGTGTCCAGATCTTTACACTGGCATATAAAACCACCATTGTGTCTATAAGCAAAACTGTCCAAGGGAATAAACAGGACCAACATGATGATGAGGGAAGGTGGGTATGAGGAGAGTATGCTCAAAATACATTATATAGTATACATATATGCATGAAAGCATCCTGTGTAACCAAGTACCATGCACAGTAAATATACGACCATACAAAAAATTACATACACACAATAGAACCTCATGATTCTCTATAGCTATATAATCACCAACTACAAAAGCAGTAATTATAAGGAACCAATACTAGAAATATCATCGAAAACAACTTTGATTTTCACATTATGATTGTTGATATAATATTAGTAGTACACTTTTGATTTGTCACACTATTATGAATAAAATGTGAATTCTGGACTAAAAAACAATATATATAAGGCAAAATATAAAAAGGGTTAATAATAAAAAGAGGGTCTCCTCATAGGGATACTTGCTAGCATGCAGTACCCATCTGTACCAGAAGGTGTCACTTCATCACAGCAAGCACGAAGGAGTCTGCTTTTTTTTTTTTTTTTTTTTTTCTTTTTAGTCTTGCTTTGTTTTGTTTTTTTTCAAGACAGGGTTTCTCTGTGTAGCCCTGGCTGTCCTGGAACTCACTCTGTAGACCAGGCTGGCCCTGAACTCAGAGATCTGCCTGCCTCTGCCTTCATAGAGCTGGGATTAAAGGTGTGCACCACTTCCGGCTTTTCTTTTATTAATTAAAATTTTTTGAGAATTTCATACATGAATATTCTAAATATGTTTCTTCTAAATATACAACATAGCACTTACCACACCCAAGTGCGTAAGTTCATCCTGTTACTAGCCAGGGTCTGTCTGTCTGTCTGTCTGTCTACATAACCTATATATGGAAAATTTCCTAAAGGAGGCCGGGGACAATGCCTGCTTTGCCTTCTTTCCAGGTAGGGGATTCCGCCTCACAGGATGAACCTGTCAAAATTCTTTGAAAACACGAAGTGACCCTCTGATGTCAAAGGGGGTGCTCCAGAGTCACCTTTGCCAGCGGACTGAAGAGGTGGAAGTCTTCAAGCATCAAAGTGGCGGCCACATGCGTGAGGACTCCTTTGACGGTTGACAAACTTTCACCCAGATTATATTCTTCCTTTAGGAAGATACAACACAGCCAATGGTTTTTATAACCACTTGGAAACCATCCACACAGAGAAAAAAAACACACTTCTTCAGCCTACAGCCTCCGAGGCGCACTCCAGACAGAGAAAAACAACTCTTTGACCTAGTTATCTGCCTCTGTAGATCAGTGCCGAGAACTGGGTTGTGCAAACTGAAGACAAACTGGCAGTCCGTCCTTCTGTTGGACTTTGTGTAGCTAATGGATATTCACTGAGGTCATCCCTGCTACTACTGGAAAACATTATGGAAGGTCTAATTTTTAAATACCTTTGCCACATTTTTAAAGAGCAAAGGTTTGAGGCAAAGGAGTTTTGGAGAGTTCAGTACATGGTCTATTAAACACATGTATACATATAATAACCATTTGTGAAAAAGAGGCTATGAATTTGAGGCACATCAATATTCTAAATGTTTCTTCTAAATACATGAATATTCTAAATATGTTTCTTCCATTTGACAGACAGACAAATGGAAGAGAGAAATATTGTAATTAAAGTACAATCTCAAAAATAAGCAGCAAAAAAAGCTATTTCCATCCTTCCTTGTCACGTTCCTGGCAAACGTGGCAACAGTCTCCCCCTTTCTAAACGTGGGTGCTCACTTTTGGGGTGCAGGGTACTGGGGATCCGACCTCGGTCCTCACACATGCTGCGCTAACCCTGCACAGACAAGCTCTACCCTAAGCCAGCTTCCCCTTTTTGACACAGGGTGCCACTAAGTTGCCCAGAAGTCCTCCACCTCACTCCACTTCCCAGGCAAGCTCTGAATTTGCAATCCACCCACCTTAACTCTCGATTAGCTTGGAATACAGATCTGCACCACCAAACTTTTTTGGGTCCAAAAAGCACAAACCAGAACTTCAGGTTCTGAGTCAAGCTCTTCAGCTTTTAATTGCCAGCAAACTAGATTATCACTGCTTTAATTAGTAGCATGTGTTTTGGTGTGCAGAATATCCATTCTAAATTCTATTGGACAACCCACCAGTAATTATCCATATCTCCATTTCACAGGACCACGAATTTAAACAATTGCATACATTCCCCAATTCCACTCTGTTTCTCATGTATAAGCATTTTAAAATAGTAATTCTATAATTCAAACAGGGATCTTGTTTCTGAAAACCAAGTTTGGAGTTTAAAAACTTCAAGAAAGTTTTCACTCTTTTCTTGGCTAACTGGATCCCAGAAGGCAAGTTGGCAGCTTTCTCCCACTCATGATCACACTTGAAATGATCACACACAAACATACACACACACACACACACACACACACACACACACACACACACACATGCATATATGCACCAAACCTGCAGCAGTACAGAAAAACGTGAAAGAGTCATGTTAGTAAAACAGAAGCAGTGAGGAAATTCTAGAAAATTACAAAGAAGGGGCTGGAATGAGGAAACAGCAGATGAATATTAAAGCTACCTATTGTTGGAGTTTACTTCCTGTTGTTCTGATAAACACTGTAACCAAAAGCAACTAGGGATGAAAAGGGTGTCTGGGCAGGAGACAACCTGGAGGCAGGAACTGAGGCAGAGGACACAGAGGAGCTCACTGGCTCAGCCCCCATGGCTTGCTTCCTTATACCACCCAGGACCACCTGCCCAGGGGTGGGAATGCCCGAGACACGCCCCTGGCCAATCTGCCGGAGGCAGTTCCTCTAGTAAGATTCCCAGGCGGGGGTCTATGGCCTGTCTCAAGTTGACAAAAGGGATTTTAACACAACATGGGCTGAGGCCACAGGAGTCAGTTTGCAGGAGCTGGCTGTGCGATTTCGCAGGGTTTCTCTCCGCAAGCATGATGGACTTAGGGGAAGGAGGTGTTGCTGCTCCAGACTGAATGCCCAGTTCGGTACCGTGGGCCCTTTTTTCAGACCTCGCACTCTGCTTAAAGTCTGCCTCCTGGCCTCACCTACCCAGGCTCTTCTAGGAAGGACCCCACAGTACCCACCAGTCCTCTGCCCACAGAGAAGAAACCCCATGGCCTCCCCATCCATTACCATCACTATTATTTGTCAGTGTGGACTGCTGCACAGAAATTACCTGATGATCTTGTCAAACCTGATTGGATTCAGCAGTTCTGAGACCCCCCCCCTGCACCCCCCTACACACACCTCACTCCACCCCAAGACTTAGAGCAAGCTCTGGGGCATCACTTCACCTATTTCTGCCTCACATTTTCAATAGCAAAGGCCTAGAGACTAGTGTGTTCTGAACCAGCTTAAAATAAAAAAACAAATATTCATAAACTTAAAAACAAGTGACTCAAAAACCCTTTGCCTTCTCCACCCCTTCAGTCTTATAAATGTGATCAAGTCTTGGGCAAATGTCAGTAATTTCTTTAAACACCATACTTCTGGGACTTCCCTTCCCAACGCTCACTTGATAAAATGTTTCTAACTTTGAATGGCATTCTTGGGCACTCTTAATAGTTTATAATTTGTTTCCAATTTGTTCCGGAGAGAGGCTGGCTTCTTAGAAGTCTGTAACCTGTGAGAACATGTGTCCTCCTGCCCGTTCATTGCCAAAACGCTGCCAGAGCTGCAGAACTTGTGCAAAGCAAACAGCATTAACTTCGCTCACTGGGTAGAAATCCAAATAATAAGGCCCTGTTTATCCACCCTGTGCTCCCCTGGAGGAACACATCCAACGCAGGGGGTGGGTGCTCTAGAAACCGGGGGACAGCTTCAGTCACAGCACATGTGATTAATTAGAAACGAAAGGAAGAAGGAGAGAACAACGGGAGGCGGTTTAGGATGATTTCTGCTCAGATACGTTCTTTAAGATGTGGGTGGCAAGCATGGCAGAGGAGCTTGTTCAAACTCCCCAGCTTCCTTGCCTTGTGTTAAAGCTGGGGTGGCTGCACAGAGCTGCCGACACGGCCTCTGGGCATCCTGTCTGGTCAGGGAGCACAGCAGACCAAGCTGCCTATGGAATGCAGGGGCCGGGGCTTGGGAACCAACCCAATGGACAGAATATGGACAAGTTACTCACCCCCTCACCTACGCCTGAACAATAAAGGAGACAGTCTTTTTCTCGTAGGGTTAGTCTTGAGAGGATTATGAGAGATGATACATGTAAAGGATGATACATGTATGATACATTCAATCATATAGGGATGGGATAGCACTTCTTTGGTTTAGTATTCACACTATTGTACCCTGCTGGGCATATTGCCTTGGCCACCATGGCAGTCTTGAGGACCACTGTGTAGCTATTTCCTCTGAACTGAAACATTTTCTCCTGCAGGCGAGAAGAAGGCCCCTAAAAACTGGGAAGCAAATGGAGCTTGGGGGTTCTGGAAGTTCAGAGAGTTGTAAGGCTCACAAGTCCCCAAGTCAGGGTTAGGTAAGCAGGGAACAAGTGCCATGGGAGAGGCGACTCTTCCGTGGAGCTACCTGCAGGTCAGGCGGGGAGTTCTAGGGGTGCAGCCTTTGTGGGTTGTCATCCATGCTGGGGTGTATCTCTTGGTCACACAGCTGCCTTTGAGTCACCCATGCCCATGTAAATAACCCACCTCACAGCTTCATTGGTTTACCCAGCTGGACGTGGGTGAAACTGCTTCTCTGATCTGTTGTCAGTGCCCTGTCTAGGCTGAGTACATGTGTGTTCACATATCCCAGGGAAAGCCGCACGATGGAATGTCTTGTCCAGAGGTGTGTATGCAGGTGGCCTGCTGGGTACTGAGAGGTCGAGGGCACCTTGAGGTCGAGGGCACCTCAGTGGTAACACAGGCACAACCACAGGTTTTGAAGACAATTGAAAAACTGCCTCAGTCAGATTGGTCTGTGGCCAGATCTGTGGCCACTGTCTCAAGCGATGACTGGTGTGGGAGTGCCTGGCACTGTGGGTGGCACCACCCCCATCCCCAGGGCGGTGCCCCTGGACTGTGTAAGCAATGTAGCTGAATATGAGCCTGGAAGCCAGCCAGTTAGTGCTTTCCTCCATGACTCCTGCCTCTGCTTCTGCTTGAGGTCCTGTCCTGACTTCCCTCAGTGATGGACTCTGACCTGCGCATGCAAGCCAAATTTCCTTTCCTCCCCCAACTGGCTTTGGGTCATAGTTTATCACAGTAACAGAGAGCAAACTAGAAACATACTGTTTTTGTTGTTGTTGTTTGTTTGTTTTTTGAGACAGGTTGACATCAAACATCTTCCTGCTAGAAAGCATACATTTTACCAGATTACCATAGCTAATTCATATTAATTCTGTCCTAAACCTAGCTCATGATGATGACTAAGGTAAGCAACTATGCTGACATCTTTGTCTGTTTGTTATGAACTGACTGACTTTAAATTACTTATCCTTGTTAATAATCAACAAAGAGACACCAAGTTATAACCATGCTTTGCATTTAGGCTCAGTACTGTTGCTACAAAAACAGCATCTCAGGTTGGCTAGTTAGAAGATGTGGTCTTTCACAGAGACAGTTAAATTGATGT